GGTAGACGCAGAACACGAAAATGGCACGGTCCTGTTAAGTGAAGATGCTGACAAGATGCAGAGTCTTCTGCACACATTGAGTGGCAAGTTGAAAATGTTTAGGATGTGTTTCTTGCCACCCAAATGGTAATTGTCGCTCCAGGACTGGTGTTCAACGGTACCCCACCCAACAATAGAGAGTAAAGTGGTTGAGCGTGTTCAACACTTCACTTACCTTGGAAGTCAGATCAGACCTGGTGGGTTGGTCGGTGGTTGAGGAAATCTCTGAACTGATACAAAAGGTTCCATTAGCTTTGCCAACTAAAACCATCTGTGGGGTCGCCATTATATCCGATTGTCTATTAAGGGTAGATTGTACTACACTGCAGTGCACTCTCTTCTACTCTATGACTGTGAAACATGGACATTAAAGGTAGAAGACATTAGGATAGGCCGTGTTTCACGGTGTCACCACATGAGTAACACAGAAGTGAGGTGTAGAGTTTTCGGAGGAGAGGTAAGTCAGTCAGTTGATATGATTGTGAACCTTCATCGACCGAGATGGCTGACTGGGACATGTGTTATGAATACCTAGGCACCATCTACCTCATCACACAGTGTTGGCCGAAATAGATTGAGTCTGCGAAAAGCTTGGAGTGGACAGACTAAAATATGACATTAATGCTTGAAGCTATTGACTGTTGGTTTGAGCCATTTAATGCGATGCAGACTATGTGGTTGGGGTCAGTTGGACAAGAGAAACTACCAGTGGTTGGAGACTGTAGGTGATGATATGGATGGGAATCGATGTCAGTGGCGCAGATGAGTCCTCTCACATTATCCTCATCATATTCTTATTTCCTCCTTTCTTTATATTTTATTACTTTACGCTTCTACTTCGTGTGCCTGGTTTTTCTTTTCTTCTTCATCTTCTATTTCATTGCCTTGTTACTTGATGTGGTGATATATGTGAAGTATGGCAACGTGGACTGTTACACAGTAATGCCAAGTCGTATTTTGATCTTAATGATGATATGAAGAGTTCAGTGAGTTTCATCCCGTTTAGTGCTTATTGTCTGTATGTACGTGTATTGTAGTTGGAAGCAGTGTTTTACAAACTAACAATAGAGTCAAATATTTCACCAACTTAGATTTCAAGACCTCCTTAAGTAAATCATAATGTGAGACAATAGAAAAGACTGGAACTTATTTCGACCAACAATAGATTAGCTATTACCTTTTATTGATACTAGTAATTCTCTGTTGTTGTACTTAATCGCATTAATCGACTTTCGCTAGCAGATAGGCTCCTATGTAGATGCTTCAGTACAGTTTGAACATTTATTGTTATGATTGACTTGGCTGTGGCTAGTAAAGGAATTAAGGATGCACGTTTCATCCTATTTTCTACAGCCTTGGTAATCATGTTGTTTCTACTGAAACACAAACTTATTACACATCGTTTCAAACGTGAAACCAGTAAAAGTAAATCGTATAAAAAGTCTTTCACTTGTGTAATCTTGGAATACTATTTGTATTATTCTACAACGTTTCTATCTTGCTAAGAAGATACTTTTGAAGAATATGACATTAAGTTTTAAACTTAATATTCAAGTTATGGTATAGAAAGTGATGAAGTTTGCGATCAACCAATTAGATCTTGATATAACATAAAAGAGTGTGCCACTGTAATCTATTTTCAGTCATTTTACCAAGAGCCTTCAACTCCTGATGTTTTTCGTCTCGAAGACTGCAACAAAAAGTCTACATCTCTCCATATGGCTGAAGCCAACAGTCAGAGAGTTCATCGACTGGTGTCAGGTCCTTGGTCTGCCCACCCTGAACTCTTTTCCAATCTGATCAAACTTTCCCTGGCATTGCATGTTGAGGTAGGTGGTGATCTGGCATGCGCAGTTTCTGTCTAAGGCATATCAGTCGATAAACTTTTACGGTGATTCCCTTGAATGAGCGATTCTACGAAGACACTTATGGTCGATAAACTGTAACTGTTTCATGACTCCTACGTTAAACGGCCATTTTTATTCTCAACCGTAGAATAGAACAGAACAGACTGCAGCGCAGTATACTACGTCTTCGATAGGTGGTCAGATACCTTGACATTGCCACAGGTAACACAAGTTAGTAAATGCCATTCTGTATCCAAGCTGAGATTACGCCAGCAACTTCCTAAACATTCCACCACTTCACTGCTTGTCATTAAGCTGGGAGTCGTTGCACATCAGTCCTAGAGCATCATCTTACATCTGACAGGTGTAAAACGCACGCCAAACATACACACATACATAGATTTTCAGCTACATTCCTTTCTAGAAACGTGAGTTCCTCTAACCTCTCAGCGCTCCAGATTCCTCGAATACAGTAAGCAAGTGACACGATAAGTTTTCTTACCTCTCCTCCATGTCACCCTCGGAAGTCCAACTCGTCGCTTTCCATGGAAATTCCACTCGATCAACTGGCCTGACATGTGATGTCACCAGTCGGCCTTCTCAGTGTATGCCCAGTCCAATCCACCTCCACTCCCTTACACTGCATATTTGTTGGGTGATATGTTCTTGGTTGGTTCGTTCCCACAGCTCCTTGTTGCATATTATCTCTGGTCATCTCATCTCAACTGATCTTCAGTAACGAGTCAGTGTAGGCAGCAGTTGTTGATCAATGTCTCTAGTTTGTTGGAAATGCATTTCGTGACGCTCCAAGTGTCTCAACCATCATATGGGAGCAGTGACTTGACTGACTGTATTGGTGTAGAAAATCTGGATGTTGTTCACACTTTGTGCTGAGTGGAGTGCAGAAGATCTCCACACTGGTTTCAGGCTAGTGAACGCCTGTCTTGCTTTCCCGATTCTGACTTTGACATCCTCGTCTGTGCCGCCACCGCCTGTAGTTGAAACAGTGCTTCCTAGATAGGTGAAGGAGGTTACTTCCTTTAAGTTTCTCCCGTTGACGGTGATGGTGATTGGAGTTTGTTGTTGTTGTTGCTGGAGTTGTTGGTTGGGTATCTTCATCATCTCTGTCTTCTCTGTATTCACTTGAAGTCCCGTCTTCACTGCCTCTTCTGCCAACTTGTTAGTTTTCGCCTGTAGATCTTCAAGTTTGTGTGACATCAGGCACAAGTCATCCTTGGCGAAATCCAGATCTTTTAGGTTCTTTTCCGTAGTCCAGCCAGCGTATCCCCCTCTTCTCACTCCCCACTGTTTGGTCTTTTGTTATCTGGATTTAATTATAGGTAATCATTGTAACTATGCAGAACAGTTAAACAAAAATGTATAATTCATTTTTCAGATTTGTGGGATTTATTAACTTTACTTTGGTATTCATCATGAGCTGAGTAGGATAAGTTGGAAGAATATTGGAAACTTAAGAGCATTTGACAGTTGTTTCTTCCTAGTATGGGACTCTTCAGCAGTGCAAACCCATAATCCCACCGAGAATCGAACTCAGACAAACTTCAGGTTCATTGGGCTACTAGGTCCGTGGAATCCATATTTCATACTTCTGACAGTTCACAATACAGGGTGATTTCCACCCAATATCGGCGTTGAGTACTTTTCCTCATGTTCAATTGTACAGCTGATGAGATTAAAATTGCTGAAGAAAAGATATCTTCGCTGTACTCCTCTTTTTCTTTGATATCCTGATAGATATTTTCAGTAATTATTAGATGTATCGCACACTGCAGAATAGTATTGTGTACTGGATTATTTTTCGGACACAATTTTACTGTCCATAGTTGTTATATCAAGTTAGTTCTAATTTTTCTCGCCTCCTTTATGATATGGATAGTAGGATTTTCCATATATCTTCGACCAGGTGGTTAGAGATTCCGGTTGCATCCATTAGGTGTTGATTTGATAGGTGAATATTGGATTATGAATCTCTCCCTTGACCGTGTCAGGTTAGTTTTAAGCATTTTCACCCTGTTTCAATCTATTGTTTGGTTTGTGTGTAACCGCCCGCGTAGCTATAGCCAAGCTTGTTAGGATGTTTCAAGTTGTTGTTCATCGTAGACTGACATCAGTTGGAGGAACAAAGGAAACCCGGGAGCACTGGGCAGCTGTTTTGTTCTAGTATGGGACTCCTCAGCAGTGAGCACCCACGACCCCGCCTCACCAGGGATCGAGCCCGCGACCTTCGGGTTCCGCGGCCAGTGCGTTACCATTGAGCTAGCCACTGGCTCAGAATCCAATCGTCAATATTTCCAACTTCTGTCAGCTCAGCTAATGTCAGTCTACGATGAATAACAACTTGAAATATTTCCAAATCTCCACAAATCCCTCAAAATTCAATGGAACTGGTGCTCATTGGTGACTAGCTTCGAGAAGTATTCCCGAAGTTCCAATGAGAAGTCCTGACCGACAGGACAGTTACTCAACGATGACATTGGGTGGCGGTTGCTCTATATATCGTGAGCTAACAGAAGTTGGAAATATGGACGATTGGATTCTGAGCCAGTGGCTAGCTCAATGGTAACGCACTGGCCACGGAACCTGAAGGTCACGGGTGCGCACTGCTGAGGAGTCCCAGACTAGTCGGACGAAACAGCTGTCCAGTGCTCCTAGGTTTCCTTTTTTCCTCCAACTGATGTCAGTCTACGATGAACAACAACTCCCTCAAAATTCGTTTATTAGGATGTAACAATTTTGATCTAGTTAGATTTTTGTGCTTGACTAGATTAATTGACCCTGGTCAACTCCTTTGACCTAATCTTGAAATTATTCTGTCGAATTGGATCAATAGGGATATTTTACCTTAGAGATATTATATAGGCTTCACAATAAAGCTGAGATTACAGTGTGATATTTAAGTTGACAAACACTGAGATTTCTCAACTAGTTAATCACAGTACTTCTGGACATCTATTCGATCAACTGAACGAAAAGATACATCTATAGTTGAGGGTTATATCACAAGAAACATTTATACAGTGCATAATTTCATGCATTTGAAATAAACAATTACTTCACTGTTTATATCATATTCTAATATTCCTTTTCTATTAGGGTATGAATGCTCCATTAATTGGACGTTATGGTGTAACAATCAGTTCTGGTGGAAAAATTAATCTTGGTCGTTTCAAGGATCCTAGAGTGAATCTACGTGATTCACGTGATAATAAAGTGATTGTACCACCAGATTTTGGAATTACACCAACTAAACCAATTCCATCCACAAGAGGTGGTGGACTAGCGTCTGTAGCATTATCCTATGCTGAATTAAAAAGTCAACTACTTCAAAGTCGTACACTATTTGAAGATCCAGAATTTCCAGCTAATGATAGAAGTTTATACTATAGTCAAAAACCACCAAGACAAATAAAATGGTTACGTCCACATGTAAGTTTCATTAGCTTTTCTGTTAATTTATTATTTTATACACTTCCATATACATGCTGAAAGCCATAGATGTTCGTTGATTCATTTTTATAGTTGCGACAAAAGCATCTCTAGGATGCCCTTACCTTTTCCTCCCATCTCTCTCTCTGTTTGTGTTTATGATTCTCGTTAATTAGTTTCTTCTCGAGGAACTGGCTTTTCCTAATGCGTTTCTTTGATTACGAAATGAAAACAATTGGAGAGCGATTAGAAATCAAAGATTATTAAACAACTTATCGGTGCTCAATAGTTCTCTAGTGTACAGCATATTATAACGAAAAGTCTATTGATTCATTTTGAGTTTAACATTCTTCATATCCAGTTATATATTTTCAGTTGCCTGTTGATCTTCATATAGAAGAGGTGAGGAGATAATGATTTTTCTTAGGGTTACAGATGTGCATAACCGTTGATGAGCGCCAACAAGTCCGAAACTCATATCACAGGGTGATGCGAGTTCGAATGACAGACGGCGGGGACATCAATCCCATCAAGGTTGCAGATACACCTTGCTGAAGTGTCCAAACAGGCATGAAATCTAGGTCTAGAACTTCCTGTCCATCCAACTAACAAAATGGACGTTTAGAGAAAAAACACAACTTGCCAAATCCTATAAAATTGTGTGTCGCTTCCACAGACCAGCTCACACACACACACACACACACAAGAACACATCTGATTTGAGAAGGATAACAAAGGACACTAATAATTGTGCTAAGGGTAGAAGTAAAAGTAGTAAAGACCTGAAACGACAGGAAAATGTGTATACTTGAAATGAAGAGAGTACAGAATAACAAATTGTTTTACTACGAGAAAAGTACACATATCCATGAATAAAAACTAAATGTACGTCAAAGGTAATTTATTGAGTTGTTGCTAGCAGGGGAAGTCAGTACACGCCTTTCGTTTTATCTCAGACTCATCTGCTGGATGTACCTGTACCTGAGTGAGTGATATTGTTCGCCCCCCCCACTGAAACTCTTACCTCGTATCCTTTGCTACAAAAACGACAAGACGTTATCCACTAGGCCACGGAGGCATACAGACTTCCATGTGGATGCCTCAATATTGCCTGAATATTCATTGTGATGTGATCTGCTTGGTTGTAGCTATCAGAAGGATCCAGCTTGATGTGCGTTTCGTCCTATTTCGGACTCATCAGCTGGATGCATATACACCCCCAGTAAATCAACATATAGCCATCACTAATACTCGTTGTAAAAGAGGTGGCTATCGTGTTTCAGTTGCCTAGTGGATACCACTGTGGTTTTGAAGCGATGGGTACGAGTTGAGAGTTTCGGTGGGAGGAAATACATTACTCGTCTGGGTACAGGTATGTCCAGCTGATGAGTCCAAGATAGGATGAAATGCGCATCCAAGATTTCACTGCTGGCCACCAAATAGACTAAAATAGTCGGTAATCATTTCTGCCGATCTTCAGATTTCGTGACTTCTATTACTGGGCACCAAAAGCAAATGATATTATGATAAACTTGAGGTCATATTGAAGCACTCGTTCAGGTAGCTTCTTAGTCAATGCTTCTTCAACTGATGTGAAACTGTGATGAAAATAACTTAAAATTAATATATCCTCCTACAAATCAACAGTTTGGAGATGATATATTCATTTTGGCGACTAACAGGGGAATCCAGGACGCGAGTTTCGTCATATTTGGGATTCATCAAGTCAACCATTCGGCCTTGTATGGCAACGTAAAGTGACACGTATCAGTAAACAGCAACTGATACTCGTTGCACAAGAACTGATTGTTGCTCTTCAGTGGCTCAGTAGATAACGTTTTATGGTTTGAAGCGAAGGGTACTGGGTTCGAGCCTCAGTAACATTACCCACTGAGAGGCAGGTAAATCCAGTTGACTACTCCCGAAAAGGAGGAAATAGGAATCTTGTATTCTTCTGCTAGTCACATCCAAGTATATTATCATAATGAACATTCAGGCAATATCAACACATCTGCATAGGACCCCATATGCTAATAGAGGTCGAACAATTCGATCCAATAAAACAGCGGAGGATTTCAGGACTATCAACAAATGGTAATACTTTAAGGATATCAGTTTTCAGAAAGTTATAGAAATCTCGTTGTAAAAGGGTAACATCATCGGCATTCTAGGAATTCGGTTTTCCGTATATTCATATCTTTATCCATTTACCTTGCATTACTTCCGTCCGCCTTCACACATACACAAGCAACGTTATTCAAACAAAGATTGTATGACTATTTCATTCCTAGAAGAAATTATGAGGAACAAAGATCTGTCTGTGTGCATATATGTCTATTTTTGACTCAATCACAATAGATCATAAGATTAACTCGGGGTTACTAGACTGAAAGATGTCACTACTGCAAAAGTTTCCTTGACTACTGATTTGAGCTATGTAAGGAGATGTAGCCTAATCGGTTGGGGTAAGGGGACAACAAAACTCACCACTGGTTGGAGAATCTAGGTGATGATATAGCTAAGAATCAATGCCAGTGGCTCAGATGTATCCTCACATATCTCATTCCTCGCTTCCCTCGTTTATTACTTTATACCGTTTTTGATCAACTTTTCTTTCTTTCTTCATCTTTCATTTTATTGTCTTGTTCACTTAATAGGCTGATATGAAATGAAGTGTGTTGGTCAACTTGGATCACTCATCACATAGTAATGCCTGGTCCTCTGTTGATATTGATTAGAGTAACAGTGAACTGATATGATTACATTTGTAACACTCTGGCAAACTGATAGAAAAAACAAACAAACAAATAGTTGATTTTGTCTGTAAAAGAGAAATTTTGAAATCGTTCTCATCATGGATTAACTGACATCAAGAGTGTATAATATGTCTCTTGTTTGTTTGTCTATGTATTGGTATATTTTCTCTTTAGCCAAGCAGTTGTTAACGTATACAATGGAAGTGTTTGAATATATATACACTGTAAAATAACTTAAATAGATCAAAGGTGGAAATATCGATTAGGAATCTGGATTATTCATGCAGGAGATGATGATTTATGAGGGGATCATCATCATTATTTTGGTGACTAGCGGGTTTTTATCACACTTAGGATTCATTAAGTCAAATAATTCGTCCCTCTATAATTCTATTGTTATTTGTCCCTTGGGTTCCTAATGAAATATACAGCTTCACAAGCACGTCTCCATTACACTCTCTTCTCTCAAATCTTTTCAACCTCGATACACAACAGCCCACAAACTCTCATTTATTCCTCACACAATCTCATCCATCTCACCCTCACCTCCGATGCCCAACTCGTCAATTCCCATCCAACTTCCACTCCACCAACTGGCCTGGTGCCTGATGTCACCAGTCCACCTTCTCACTGTATGCCCAGTCCAATCCACCTCCACTCCCTTACATTGCATATTTCTTCAGCGATACGTTCTTGCTTCGTTGATTAGTCACCAGCCAGACAAACTTCCTTCTTCCATATTCTTTCTGACCATCTCATCTCAACTGATCTTTATCAACGAGTCAGTGTAGGCAGCAGTTGTTGATCAATGTATCCAGTTTGTTGGAAATGCCTTTCGTGACGCACCAAGTCTCTCAACCATCATATAGGAGCACTGACTTGACTGACTGGATTGATGTTGAAAATCTGGATGTTGTTCACACTTTGTGCTGAGTGGAGTGCAGAAGATTACCACACTGGTTTCAGGTTGATGAACGCCTGTCTTACTGTCTTTCCGATTCTGGCTAGCTTTGACGTTCTCGTCTGTGCCACCACCTGTAGTTGAAACAGTGCTGCCTAGATAGGTGTTTTGAAGGAGGCTACTTCCTTTAGGTTTCTCCCGTTGAGGTTAATGGTGATTGGGTTTGTTGATGTTGTTACTGTTGTTGTTAGTTGGGTATCTTCATCACCTCTGTCTTCTCTATATTCACTTGAAGTCCTGTCTTCCCTATCCTGCCCTGCCCTGTCCTGCCCTGCTCCACCCTGCCTCTTCTGTCAACTTGTTAGTTTTCGCCTGTAGATCTTCCAATTTGTGTGACATTAGGCATGAGTCATCGGCGAAATCCAAATCTTGTAGGATCTTCTCTCCGTACAACCAGCGTATCCCCTTCTTCTCACTCCTCCCCACTGTTTGTTGCATGATCCATTCCAGTCGACCACAATCAGGAATATCGTAGGTGATAGTAGGTGGCAGCCTTGTTTTACTCCTGTCTTCACTTCACTTTGAAGACATTACTGAGCTTCCCATTGTGAATTACTTGGCATGTGGTATCTTCATATAGTTGTTGAATGACGGTGATAAGTGTTTGTGGTACTCCGTAGTATTGAAGCAGTTTCCAAATTACCTCTCCATCCACGCTGTCAAAGACCTTCTCAAGGTCGATGAGGTTGAGGTAGAGGTACAGCTGGTTGCGATTCTGTCTGTTGTTCTTTGATGATGCATAGTGTAGCGTTACAATGTTGTCTGCACATGATTCATACTTCCTGAAGTCTGCCTGTTCCGGTCGTAGTTTTGAATCTAGTGCATCCTTAAGTCTTTCCAGAATGATGCGGCTTAATATTTTGCTTGTATTGGGTGGACAGGAGCGTGATTCCGCGCCAGTTCTTGCAAAGACTTAGATCTCCCTTCTTCGGGAGTTTGACAAGGCAAGCCTTCTTCCAATCTGGATGTATATATATATATATATATATATATATATATATATATATATATATATATATATATATATATATATATATATATAAGATTGACCTCAATCTTGGTTACGGATGCAGTCGGATTTCAAATTACTTTATTTGTTTAATTTTGTGGTTTCTTGTGGGGATTTAGTAATTTTTTAAGTTTGTATTCATTATGGACTAGCTTCAAGAGTTGATTCCTGAATTTCCATTGAGAAGTCTTGATTGGTGGGGAAAATCTGGTGACCGTAAGGACAAATACGTAACGTTGATATTGGGTGGTAATAGCTCTGTCGTGAACTGTCA